TTTTCATAAATGTGACCTGGTCCCTATCAATATAGATAGAGATGAAGCTCTTATTTTTTCTCAAACATTGGGGTGCAAATTAAGTGCTTTCCCTATTAAGTACTTAGGGGCCCCTTTGCATTTTAGTAAAATTAGGAAGGAAGATCTCCAACCCACTATTGACAAGATTATCAAGAAAGCTGCTGGGTGGAGAGGGAGACTTCTTTCTTTTGGCAAAAGACTTATATTAGTCCAAGCCTGCTTAGCTAGTATTCATTCTTACCTCATGGGTTTCATTAAATTCCCTAAGTGGGCCATTAAACTCATAAATTCCCAACTAGCTCATTGCTTTTGGGATGATTATGAGGGTCACCACAAATACCATCTAACTGCCTGGAAGTCTATTACCATGAGGAAAGAATTTGGGGGTTTTGGTATTACTGACATTGGGGACATGAATTTGGCTTTATTAGCCTCTTGGGTCAGCAGATACTATAACTCAGAGGGTAAGATCTGAAAAAATATAATTGGTTCCAAATATAAACCTCAAAGCAATCTATTTGCTTGCCCTAATACTGGAGCATCTCCTTTTTGGAAAGGGGTGCTCTCGGCAGCTCAAGCTGCTAAAGTTGGTTTTTCTTGGAAAATTGGTAATGGTAAAAGGATCAGATTCTGGGAGGACCATTGGTTTGGTAATGCCACCTTGGCCACCCAATATTGGGATCTCTATGTCCTTACTAATGAGCATAATGCCACCATTGATAAAATTTGGGACGACAGTGACCCTAAAATTACTTTCCGGAGATGCTTCACTCAGGAACTTATGTCTCTTTGGTATGAGCTTTTGGAAATTGCCAGTTCTAGTCATCTCTCTGTAGAGGATGACTCCCCTGTCTGGAATATGAATTCCAAAGGGATATACTCTGTTAAATCCTTTTATAAGTTCTTAAATTTCAGAGGTGTGTTGCCCAGTAGTTCTCCTGCCATTTGGAAGATCAAAATTCCTCCTAGGATTCAGATTTTTCTCTGGCTATTAACTAACAACAAGTTGTTGACCAGAGATAATTTGTCTAAAAGGCAGGAGGTAGGCGATTCCACCTGTGTTTTTTGCGCTCAACAGGAAACTTGTTCTCATTTTTTTAGCACCTGTGTCGTTGCTACTGAATTCTGGAAAGCCTTATGTATCCTAACTGGGATTGATGAAGACATCAGTATAATGTCCATCTCCCAGTACTGGATCAGAGGAGATACCTTTGCTGTAACAAATATTGTCCATGCAGCTGGGCTTTGGGCTATCCGGAAAACTCGCAATGACATGATTTTTAACAATGTTGTTTGGTCTGGATTACAGGCTATCTGGCGAAAAACTGCGTCAAATCTGTCTACATGGGAGTGCCTGTCCTCAGGGTGTGCCAAGGACAGGGTGGTGTGGGCTGCGAAAGAACTGGAGATGAAAGCGAGAAGCCCACCTCTGCTAATGTGGCTAGATCCTGGATGAGGCGTGGAGATACATTTTGAAGCCATTTCCTCTGTAGGCTGCTACTCTCTCTTAGAGGAGTCGCTTTGTGCCTCTCTTATCGCTGGCTAGGCTATGGCTTCTGCCCCATTGCCCTTTATTCGGCATTTGCTATTTTAGTTCAAACTTTTAGTCTTGTAGCTTTTCCTGCTTCCTCTGCGGCAGCCTTCCTGCTGTCCGCCGTTTGCCTAATTTGTAAGACGATTCTGTAATTGTTGTTTCGTTTCTTCAAGAAATGGAACAGGGGCGCGGCCCTTTTCATCTAAAAAAAACCGAAGACCAACGAAGTGCATGTACCGAAAATCAAGGTTTCCCAGCAGTTGGCAGTTCAATCATTGTCCATCCATCGGACTCGCACCAGCAGCCACAATTTGAAACCCCCCGTCTACAGTGCCTTTTGCACCTGACCCAACCAACCCCAACCCAACCGTGGTTACCCACCCCCCGCTTTACCATGGTTACTTTAGCAAAGCAAGCCAGGCGCGCACGGCGCACGGCACAGCCGCGCAGTTTGCAGAAAGGCCCCTCGCGCGGCGGCGCATTTCCGGGGCCGCCCCCCCGCGCGCGCGTTCTGATCCGCGCACCCGAAGCGAACCCAGATATTTCTCCTCTGGACGACGCCCTTTTACACGCCGATCCTTACAGAATCACGAAGTTCGGCCCACCTCCCCCTCCCTCTCGCACGTACGGACCACGCCATGCGCTCACCACCCGCTGGCTAGGGTTTCTCCCTTACACTGGCTGGCCCCGGCGTCGCCGATCCTCCCACCAACTCACCCCATCCTCATCCGCTCCCCCTCGCTTCGCTCCTTTCTTCCTCTCCAATCCACCGCCGTAGCGTTGCCTTGCCCTCCCACCACCACCACCACCACCGCTCTCGCTCTCTCTCCCGCCATGGCCTACCGCGGAGGCGGAGGCCGGGGCGCGCCGGCGGGAGGAGGGCGTGGGGCCACGCGCTGTCCGCCTCCGCGCGCGTCTTCAGCGCCTCGCCCCGCCGCGACGGCGCCCGTGGTGGCCGACAACCCCAACGCCGCGGGGCCGCACCAGGGCGCCTACCAGCACGGCGTCGTCGTCCGCAACCCCGCGCTGGCACCCTACGCCACCGTCCGCGCGCCTTCGCCCGCGGTCACCATCCGCGCGCCCTCGCCCACGCCGGCCACCATCCGCGCTACTGCTCCGACGCCCTCGCCGGCCCCGGCCCCGTTCCAGCCGGCCCGCGTCTCCGCCCCCGCTCCCGCTCCGCCGACCCCCGCGTCCGTCGCCAAGGAGCTCGAGCAGAAGCTCTTCGTCACGGAGACCGCGCTGGCGCCGCCCGCCGCCGCGGCCGCGGCGGCGGTCGCGGCGACGCAGCCCGAGGAGGAGAAGGCCCCCGACGTGGACCTCGCGCCGGTGTCCAAGAAGGGGCTCGCCCACCCCGCTCGGCCCGGCGCCGGCACCGTGGGCAAGAAGGTGATGATCCGCGCCAACCACTTGCTCGTCAACGTCGCCGACAACAACCTCTTCCACTACGATGTGAGCACGAACCCTACCCCCCCTCCTTCTTCTCTCTCTGTTTTCCTCTTCTATGCGCTTCGTTTTCTCCAGATCCGGCGCTCCCTGTGGGTTCATGTACGTTAATCCGCTGTCCGAGTTCACTGATAGATGGATCTACTAGTTTACGATTGTAGTCGTCGCGCTGTTTCCCCCCGCTCTGCTTCGTTTTCTCACGTCCGCGTTAGTTCACTCGTAGATCTACCTGTTGCGTCCGTGTTCTAATTTCGAAGCTGTATCGTACGTCGTTTTTCTCTTGTCCGCGCTATACTCATAGATCTGTTTTCTCCCGCTCTGCTTTCGTTTTTCTCCATGCGACGTGCGTCTCCGACCCCATCCATCCATCCATGGATGCTTGGCCGAGCGCTGTCGCTACACGTAGTGACGCCTCGGTGCTTCTCTCTTTTGCCTTTATAAAATCTTGCCATTTTCTCTCAGTACATGCATGGGTGGTTTTCTCCTGTTCTCATGCATGAACAGTGAGTTCTTGGAATGCAAAAGCCATCCTGCAGACAGTAGCTATCGCTTCTTGTTTCGTCGCTGTCGTTGTTATCTTGGAAACTAGCAGTAGTAGATGCAGACATTATTTCGGCAACTTTGCGGTCAAGGCTGCAGATTCTTGGGATCCGTTTTGGCTAGCTATAGGCGGGAGGTCGGAGCCTCCCCGTCCCATGCATGCAAGGCCACCCACCTTTTTCTTTCTTTGATTCATCTCCTGCGTCTTTCCCCGGCGTTCTCTTTTTGTGAAAGTGTTTTCGGGGATTGTCTTGGTCTTGTGGTTTCCGTCTGGTCCTTGTCCTCGTTTGGCGACAGATGGGCAAAGCAACGTACCATCCGTGATCCGTCCGTTGGGACATGGCAGACGCATCCGTCCGTCCGTGTACGTGTCTTCCATACATTTTGGGCAAAGCAGGAGGCCTGTTGGTGTTGTTGCCCTTGCCACCTTTGTTTGTGATTCCTCTGGCTCTGCCGCGCGGCAGCTTTTGGTTTTGTCTTTGGTTCAAAGCATGCAACGCCGAGGCCGTGCTCGGATCTCCTGTGTCGCGCACCTCGAGCGCAATTCCGTGTGGCTCTCTGTGTTTGCATCTAGTCCGTCAACTTTCTTTTTTGGGAGAGATTCTTTTCCCCCTCTCGGTCCAGCCTTGGACGTTTCCTCTTTGTGTATGTATGTGGGTGGAACAACAGTGGTAGATCTGTTTTTTTTCGCTGAATGGTCGACACGTACGGGGATTTAAATATTAGTACTGTTTTTGACGTGAGGTTTAATATTATTGTTTTTCAGCTTTTTACAGTGAGCTCTATTTTGCTTTAAAATCTCATTCTCTGCTCATACATGTATATGCGTACCTCCTTTGTTGCCAAACTATTTTATATTCCAAATGCAAAAAAACTACTTTATATTCGTCTAGTACATTTATATATGGTAAATTGGCGACGAATTATTTTGCTACTCCTCGTAACAAGTACCCCTACAGTATCTGGTATACAGTCCGTAGTTCCTTTCCCTTTTTTAAGTACATATATACAGTTCGATGCAAAAAAAAAGAGTACATATATACAGTACGCAGGTCCTTTTTTTTACTAGACGCAGTACGCAGGTCAGGTCCTTTTTTCTATACTATACACACGGTACACAGGTCCGCTTATTGTATTCTGTACCGCATGATTGCACCAAGATTCGTGCCCTCGCACCCACCCCCACCATGCCGTCGCAGCCTCCCACTCAACCCCTCCTCACCCGGACGGAGCGCCGCCGCCCCTTCTCCGCCTCCGGCCTGCTCGCCCGCGGCCCGTCAGGGACCCTAGCATGGCCGTGCCAAAAAATTACTCTACTGTGCTGTGCCCCCTTGAGTATTGGGAGTTCGATTTGGGATCCAGACTTCTTCCCCCACTTGATTGACTCTATACTACAGGGGTTCTTCCGTTTCAACTGGATTTTTTTCTGGTCTCTGTAAGTCGAAATGGAGGCCGGCACATGGTATGTCTTGCCGTTTGCCTGCTACATTTCCAGTCCTGCGATGCCACTAGCAGCTAATTTCGTTTATTGCCTAATTTTGGTTTACTGGTTTCTTAAGATCCGCTAGTTTTTCTTTTCCCTCACAGATTGAATGAAGTATAGCATAAGTACTGAGAATTATAATATTTCATTTGATTTTTTTTAAATTCATTGGACACTAATCAGAGGGCTAATCGTCTCTATTCTGTGTACTGAATGTAGAACAGAGTCTCTCTTGTTTGTGCATACATACTGATGTTGAAATGTGTTGCTGTAGGTCTCCATTAATCCGGAGTCAAAATCAAGGGCTGTGAACAGGGAGGTACTCAGTGAGCTAATCAAGTTGCACGGCAAGACATCCCTTGGCGGCAAATTGCCTGCCTACGATGGAAGAAAGAGTCTTTACACTGCAGGCTCACTCCCTTTTGAGTCTGAGGAGTTTTCTGTTACACTGGTTGATCCCGAGAAGAAAGACAAAGAAAAGTATGATTGGATTCTTTACCTTCAATCTTGTCCAACTTGATTACCCATTGTATTTGTTTTTTAGCTACTGACTTGTTCCCTCTTCATTTGCAGGGCTGAAAGGGAGTACAAGATCACCATTCGGATTGCTGGGAGGACAGACCTGTACCACCTCCAGCAGTTCCTCAAAGGAAGACAGAGGGATATGCCTCAAGAAACCATCCAAGTTCTTGATGTTGTCCTCAGGGAGTCACCATCCTGGAAGTATGGCATCCACTTTTCCGGCAGTTTCTTGCTATCAGTTTTTCTTCATCATCATACTAGCTAGTTCTGTAGAGCCCTAACACTGTTGCTGGCAATTCCTTTTCATTGCAGCTATGTCACAGTGTCCAGATCCTTCTTCTCCACCACCTTTGGTCACAGAGGAGACATTGGTGAAGGATTAGAGTGCTGGAGAGGTTACTACCAGAGCTTACGCCCAACCCAGATGGGGCTGTCACTCAATATAGGTACTCCTCTCCCCTCCCCTGTCTGTTACTGTTATCCGATTGCAGTGTGTCCTAGCCTTGTTTATCTGATGATCTGCACTTCATTTTTCAGACATATCTGCGACATCCTTCTTCAAGCCTGTGACCGTGGTCCAGTTTGTGCTAGAGTTCCTCAACTTACGTGATGCCTCGCGCCCTCTGACAGACAGGGACCGTGTTAAGGTACTATTCGTCTATGCTAAGCTAGTTTTAGAATTCATGTTATGTACATTGCACCATGTTATTGGCTGGAAATAGTTGACTAATCTCATCGTATGCACTATATATGCAGATAAAGAAAGCACTCCGTGGGGTGCGTGTCGAAACAAACCACCAGGAAGACCAAATCCGAAGATACAAGATAACAGGGATTACTCCTGTTCCCATGAGCCAGCTCATGTAAATAACTTCCCTCAAATGCTATAATATTTTCCATTATGTATTTTCTCTCTATGTTCTGGTCCAACTAATCAGGGTTGCTGGAATATTAAAAAGATGTGTAGTTGTATAGATTTTTGGCTTATTGCATCTTCATTGATGTTGGTGTGTCAGGAACTGGTTAGGGGATTAATTTTGTTTACAACATTCTTCCTGTGGCATATGCTTTTGATTTCTGCAGCATAGCAAGATCTGTTTGTGCCAAATTGTTTCCTGTTCACAGTTTTCCTTAGGAATGTTTAGACCACAGTTAACTTTTTAGCATCTATCCATGATTATTATTCCCTTTCTAATAGCACTCTACTCGTGTTGTTTCGTTTGTTGTTAGATTTCCTATTGATGAGAGAGGAACAAGAATGTCAGTTGTTCAGTACTTCATGCAAAGATACAACTACAATCTGCAGTATACTTCTTGGCCCTGCTTGCAGTCCGGAAGTGACGCTCGGCCTGTGTATCTGCCTATGGAGGTATTGTATCCACGCCTGCTTCATCATATTTGAATTATACATTGTTTGCTCATGGTTCTCTGCAAATTGATTGTAGGCGTGCAAGATTGTTGAAGGGCAAAGGTACTCTAAGAAACTGAATGACAAGCAGGTCACCAACATACTTAGAGCTACCTGTCAACGTCCCCAGCAGAGGGAGCAAAGCATTCGTGAGGTATGTACCTGTTGTCAACTGCATTCTGGAAATACCTGCCCATATCTTCTCGCATGTGGTAGTTCATTCCAATCTGTTCGAACTCATGTAGTTAGGAATGTCCTTTTCAAGGCATATTTGTCATGTTTGCTTGTAATGTGTAGTCTTTCTCATGACACTCTTTTTCACACTGTAGATGGTTCTGCACAACAAGTATGCTGAGGACAAGTTTGCTCAGGAGTTCGGGATCAATGTCTGCAGTGACCTGGTCTCTGTTCCAGCCCGTGTGCTGCCTCCCCCCATGGTAAGAATGCTGTATTTCCCCCCTTTCTCTGAGCTGCTTCACTAGAAGGATTTGTAGTAATCACATACTTCATATGTGTTTCAGTTGAGATATCATGATTCTGGAAAGGAGAAAACTTGTGCGCCAAGTGTTGGACTGTGGAACATGATTAACAAGGTATTTCCTTTTTTCATCGTTTTATTGTCTCTTTTACTAAGCATTACTTTTGCTTGGAACTAAATACACTGCCAACTTGTTGAGTTTCTTTTATGTTTGTGCTCAATGTATTAAAAATGACAGGTTATTATTTTGTATGCAGTAACTCAAATTATTTTGCCTGATTGCACTATGTTAATTAGTTATTTTTCAGACTAGTTATTTAGGAAAAACTGTTGAGCTTGTTGGTTACCTGGCTCATTATTTCGTATGTAGTATATGTGATGTCGATGGTGGTAAATATAAATGATAGGTCTCATTGCGCATTATTTTTATATGTGGCATATGTAGCACATGTACACAAATTCTGTTGCGATCTGATTCAGACGTGCAATGGGATGCTAAAGGCTTGCATGCTTTCCTGTTTCTTAGGCATTTATGATTTATATGTGCTTGTTACAGCTGACTGACTTCTGTTTCCAACCCTGTAGTCCGTCAATCCAAGATCACTTGTAAACAACCAATCGGTTTTGGAAAGAGCTTTTGTGCGAAATGGCACACCGTTTGTGTCCGAAGTACCAACAATCATCTTTGGTGCTGATGTGAAACACCCCCCACCTGGAGAGAATTCTGAATCATCTATTGCCTCGGTTAGTCTTTTCCCACACTTAACAGTTTCTCGTCAATTCAGTATTTGGACCTATCTGATTTGTTCTTTAAAATAGAACTATCATCAATTCGATTATCATATATATTTACCCGTTTCTTTTGTTGGATTGATGTAGGTGGTTGCATCAATGGACTGGCCAGGAATCACCAAGTACACAGGTCTTGTCTCTGCTCAACCACACAGGCAGGAGATAATCGAAGACCTCTTCAGTGTCACCAAAGATCCGCAGAGGGGCGATGTCAATGGTGGCATGATCAGGTGAGTTCTGTGATTAGTCAGAGACGATTGCTAGCAATTGCCCTGTGGATCAACTGCTAACCTGACATAATTTTCTCTACAGGGAGTTATTGATTGCCTTCCGCAGGAAGACAGGCCGGAGGCCCGAGAGGATACTCTTCTACAGGTATTTGCACAAATTCATGACACTCTTTTCATCCTGTCCATTCAATGGAACTGCCTGACCGATGATTCTCATGTACAGGGATGGCGTAAGTGAAGGCCAAGTCAACCATGTTCTGCTTCATGAAGTGGACGCAATCAGGAAGGTAAGCCTGCAGCATATGAATAAATGCAAATTTCTGACTTGGTCTGCCTCCTATGGTTATCCTTGGCTGTTTCGTTTTGATGTTTCTTGGTTGTTGCAAGGCCTGCGCCTCTTTGGAGGAGGGGTATATGCCTCCAGTCACCTTCGTGGTTGTCCAGAAAAGGCATGATATGTTCCCTGAGGTTCATGGGAGGCGTGATATGACTGATAAGAGTGGAAACCTTCATGGTTAGTAGTACACTGGTATTTCAATGTCACCGATAACAACTATGTGCTACTCGTTGAAGCATTGCTGACTGTGATTGGCTGCATTTTGTTTCTGTTGTTCTGCAGGAACTGGCACTGACCATCTCAGCTGTCACCCAACAGAGTTGGGGTTCTACTTGTGCAGCCATGCTGGCATTCAGGTACCGACATGCCCCACATGTCTTTATTTTTCCCACGCATTTTATCTTCAATGCTTGCATACTGAGTGCTGCTTGCAAACCCTCTTCAGGGAACTAGGCCGACACATTACCGTGTTCTTTATGATGAGAATCACTTTACAACCAATGCAATTCAGTCACTGACCAACAATCTCTGCAAAATGTAACTCACTCTCTCTCTCTCCCTCTCTCTCTCTCTCTCTCTCTGTTGTTTTATGACTGATGTAATTCTGATCCATGTGCAATGCAGATATGCTCACTGCTTACCTGCTGTTTCTGTTGGTGAGTTTCATCTGTACCTTTTCTCTTCAAGTAGAGCATTCTTCTGGCATTAATCGGATGCCTTCTGTTATTGGATTTGTATACTGATAAATGAGCCTTAGTTTATTTATGAATACACCGAGTACTTTTCATTCCTCTGTTCTATGTCATCTATGTTTATTGAACTGAAAAACACATCATCTCCCCCTTTGCTGTTTTAGGACTTGGTACACTTTACTAAAATAGCTGTTGTTTTATTAGATGCTGTGGCATTTACTTTCAGAATATAATTTGGCTGAACTGATTATGCAGTCCCAGCAGTGTTCTACGCTAATGTTAAAACTACACTACATTCGCGCTCAAATGGTGGGTCGACCCCCGGGAACAGCAGGCAGGCAGATATTGGGCGAGACCCTATAAAGGTATACATCACTTTATGCTTATATATCTAAACTCGATCACTTCATATAATTGCTTCATTATATGATTGAAATTCTCTCATCATGGCAGTCTACAATATGGATTCACACCCCCGTTGGCAAATTGCCTGTGGAAATAGATTTGACAGACAAGTGTTCTACACTGCGGAAGTGTATTGAAATAAAAGTTCAGAATTCAATTGAAAATTTTGGATTACTCGTTGGGACAACTTATTTGCAGTGCGATAAAACTTTGGAATTTTATGGGTTGTCTGATAATTCTGAAATAAAGATGTATCCAAAGCTGCGAGGAGGTAGTAATGGGTAAGCTATCTCACCTATATCTCTACAGAAAAACATTTTTCTTTTGAGTTACACTCGAATTTGCTAGCTGCTGTTTGATTAATAGTGTGCATAAACATATGCAGCGAGTCTTCAGAACCAGTTGATGAGAACAGATTGGATAATTTTGTTCGCGATCCTTCTATATTTTATGATTCTGAGAAGATCCCTCACAAGACAGAGGAAGGAAGAACTCAGAGGGTTGTTTACTTTAACAGCAAAGGTAAAACCTTAGGTACAAGTTTGGTTGAGAAATTCCTGTCTGTCAAGAAAAATCGGCTCTCATGGAACGGAGAGATATCTTTGAGAGATTTTGATGTTGTTAAGAATACAGTCGAATTACGACCAGGTCGTGAACCTTCACAATTAAGGACATACACGACATGGAAAAGAGATTGCGCAGCGTTAGTGTCTATGCTTACTGAAATGTTTCAGCCATCGAGGTTTCCAGTTGACTATATGGACGACTTATTGGATACCTTAAAGAATCCAAAAATTGACTTAATGTTCAGTGAGTGGTTGATTACGTATTTGACCAATCATATGGCTTTCAAGAAACCTTTACAACGAAGTAAGTTTTAGCTGTCTGCACTTTACCTTTTTTTAGTTATTTATTCTGTGACTTGTTAAATGCTGGATCTGCTGTTACCTGCACTGTCCTTGTGATGCTGGCGGGAGTGACAGCTATAGCATCCAAAAGTTCATAATCTGTTCTTCTGCGTTTTAAGATTGCAGTAAGTGAAAGATGAGAGATCTGAACCATGTTTTGTTTATGTAATACAGGTCATGTTTCATACAAGATAATGAAGTTATACGAAAATCTACCCGAATCGGAACAGGAAAGATTTCGGAGAGTTCTGGATGAAGTTGAGTGTAATGAATGGTTACACCCGGACATTGAATTGAATTACATCTTCAGTCCTACATTCAAGTTTTCTTTGGAAGAGCATAAATTTGAGTATCCTAGAACTGGTTTCTACTGTTTTAAGTTCCAAAGGAACTTTAACTCGCATAAAACACTGGTGCGTATTTTTTCACTTAATGCCTTTATTTCGTTTGTGTGAGATCCATATGTGATAATTTTAAACTTCTGACAGTTGCGATGGGATTTGAGCGATTGTGCTATCCCAGCTCTTCTTGGAAACTTCATGTGTCGAGTTATTAAAGCACTTTTGAAGAATAATTTTGACATCCAGAAGTGTTTAGAGGATTAGGTAAGCTTCTGAAAGTCATTTCTATTAGTAGAGGTTGCCACTGGATTAGTATGTTTGCTTATCCGTAGCTGTAGACTTTCTGTCAAAATATCTGTTTTAAGATATCGTCTTCACTTGCATTGAATTAAACAACACATTATCTCCCCCACCCCCTTACTGTTCTAAGATATCTATTGTTTATTTAGATGCTGTGACAGCTGGTAGACCCAAGAGAGAGCACTGTGGAGGTGCGCCAGCTCCCAAAGATCAAGGACAACGTCAAGGACATCATGTTCTACTGCTGAGCTCCTGTGGAGCTGTTCCTTGTGTGACCTACCTACCCTACCCTGAGTTGTGTGAGAGCCTGAGATGGAGATGACTTTGTTTTGCCGTGGAGCCTGTTGCTCGCAGTTATCTTGTTCAGTTCGTAGTAGCCAGGATATGTATGACTGTCTTTGTTACCTTAACTCTACTTGAGACCTATGCTATGCAAGTGGTTTAAGTTACCAAGTGGTTTTGCTAGTTGCCACATAGTTCTGTGCAAGTTTGAATTTTTTTTGGCTTTGTGGCTAGGATCTGGTGAACTATTTTGGTTCTGGATTTTGGGTTTATAACAGGTCCAAGTCAGAGGAGCAACTTGTTTGAGTTTCTCTTGGCTTGGACTTGGGCTTGTCCAAAATCCAAAACCAAGTTGGTTTCCACAGCCGAATTGGCCTTTGAAAAATTTACCTTTCATTTTACTAGTCCGGTTCTTTGCGGAAGAGTTTTCATCTCCATAGTCTTGTAGATAGAGTTCCATGTGGAGTTTTTAACACAAAATTTCTCAAAGAGAGTTTGCTTCCAAGGACAAGTTTTCACAAGTGCATCTTCTTTTTTTCCCAATGAAAGAATGCAGGATTTTTAGTTTCTACTATGAATTTCATGTAGTTTGTGGTACACATGTTTGTACACATAATGTGGTCACAAGCTTCACAACACACTTAACTGTGTGTCCTAAATTTGTTCCTTTTGGTAAGCTTTAGGCTGTTTGAGTTGCCGGGCTTGGCCCTAGGCTTCAGATCCAGATTGGTAAGCCACGAATTGGCGTTTGCCCAATACATCTTTGTTCTTTTTGCTCAGAAGAGTTTTCAGAGTTTTCAGTATTGTACCCCCTCTGTTCCTAGATATAAGTCCTTTTAGAGATTTCAATATGGACTACATACGAAGCAAAATGGGTGAATCTACACTCTAAAGTATGTGTATATACATTTGTACGTAAGTCCATATTGATGAAATCTCTAAAAAAACTTATATTTAAGAACGGAGGGAGTACAATGCATCTGTCTAATATAAGATGCTTTCAGAACAACACTATCATAGACACAAGTTCTGATAGTGTTGTTGCTTCAAAGGAGTAAAACTTCTCAAAAGCAACAGACTGCATGGAATACGAAGATGGATGATAAAATCTCTGTTTGTGCCAAAAAGCAAAAATGTTCACAACACAGCCAAGATACAAAGATGACAAGCTTCACAGTTCAAATAAGATACAAAGATCGCGAGGACGGAATATGTATTTTTCCACTTCATTTATCTCATCCACTTTGAAGATGTATACCTGGCTAACAGCCTGAAATTTGTGCGAGCCTGCATAGGCTATGTTTCTTCTAACAATAGTTAGCTTATACTACACACAATATATCTGTCTCTTTTGTTGGTTTCAAAAATATCCACCCCGCATGAAGGGCATAAGAATGCATAGCATACATGTACAAATGCTTTGAATTTGTGCTACACTGTTATCTCCATTCGAATCAATGTAGCAAGTGCCACAAAAATTTGATACAAACTATCCAATTGTTTGGTGTGTTCATATTTTGGTACAGGAACTAATTTGAGCATGCCTACTCGGATGACTTCTGTGATGCGGGAGCTAGCCTGTAAGAACACAT